GAAAGGGAATAAGGGAGAGAGACTTACTGATTAGAGAAGAAAACAGCTTTAATAGTACCACTAATAGTGATAATGATAATATAATAGACTATGTACAAATATATCCAAAGTTAGTGTGGAACCCAGCTCCGCCCGATGGCAACAGGTCACCGTCATCCCCGGCTGGGGAGCAGCCCCCAGGAAAGGGGTCCCAGGCTGGACTCAGTCGCAGGCGGCGACTAGCTAGAGGGGATGCTGGAACTCAGTTCAGGGACACAGGGCTGGGGATCGAAGGCAGGATGGATGAAATCCTCCTCCAATGCCGGCCACTGCAGGAGCAGCCAGCAGAAGACAACCACGGAAGAGAGGGAACAGAAGGGTCGAGGGAAAGGCTTGCTCCTCCTGATCCTTCAGCTTCTGCTGGATAGGAGGGCTATGGGGTGGAACACCCCACTGGTGAATCCTGGGGTCAGTTATCCTGCCTGCTCCTCCCCCCAGGTGCCATGTACTCTCTGCCCCCCCCATGTGGGGCACAAGCCTAGCAGCGGCCTTGGTCTGCATCTCAATCCCTGGCAGTAACCCTAAAACATGAAGTCTTATCAGTGCTAAAACCAGACAGTTTGTGAAAACACTACTAACTTCAGACAGAGCAGTTACTTAGAAGAACTTCAGCTAAGAAGTAAAATCATTGAGCAGAACCAGCTCTATTTTACCCCAAACCAGGACAGCTGTGTAGATGCCTCTCACTTAGAAGCCTCTTTCCTGACCCAGTGATGACATCTCTAGGTTTTGTGGGAGCTTTATTTTTTTGCTGTGAGAATTGTTTGCCGTGGCTTGTTGTGCCACAGTGCCTTTGTTTCTCAGAAGATATGCTGACCTAAATTGGCTGAGGGTTCCCTGTGCTTTTGCATTCCCCTGAAGTATTTTACGCTGCTGGAGAAGTCATGCCTGCTACGGCCACTTGACCCCTCCCTCCCTCTTGGTCCCCGCAGGAGGAGGTGTGCCTCTAGCAGGAGACACAATGGGTCTGAGCAGACAACACCATGGGAGTTGGGAGTTCATACAGCTGCTGCCTGAGGGGGAGGGCTGCAATTCAGTTTCTAGTGACTGACATTTCACATAGGCTAATGTGCTGTTTCTTTCCTGTCAGAACTGTGTAAATGGCTAACAATGGTTTCCCCTCTGTCTGTTTCTCTGTTTAGCAGGAAGGAACGCCCTAACTCTCTGAACGTCTTCCCCCTCACGGATGGCATGGTACGTGGGCAGATAGGGGCCAAGATCGTCCCAACACTGGACCACTGGCACCTGAATGACCTCGGCCAGCTGCAGTCCAACTCCAGCTACAAGGTTTTATAGACCATCAGGGAGCAAGGGTTTCCCACTCTCCCACTGTCAACAGCATCCCACGGTTTCATTAAGATGGAGACCAATCTGTGTCCATAACCCTTTGCAGCCTCTCCCTTCTGTATGTCTGCTCCCTTTGTAGCTGTGCTGTGGGAAAATACTCTTTTGGAGATCTGGCATATGGTGTGGGAGGGATTTGACACAGCTCTTCATGCCTCTTGTCTCAGCGATAATCTCCTTTACTTGGCTGGCCCCAAGCTGAGAGGAATGTGTGGGGAGGCAGTTAGAGATTTAGGGAAGATAAATCCTTTTTTTTGTAGCTTATTTGGGACAGGAAATGGTGGAGCCTGTCCCCTCTCTTGCCCTTCATAAGAGTGATGCTTTTGCACCTCAGCTAGGACCAGATGTTGAATTGCACTTACTCTCCAGTGTTTGTCCTTTTTCACTGATTGCTGTTCTGGCCTTCCTGTCCTCAGTAAAAAGTTCTCCTGATCCTCTCTGGATGCCCAAGTCTTGCACTGTGTTTAACAACCTTCAGTTCTTTATATATCTCATCATTGCTCTAGGCTTACATTGTCTACCTTCAGTACACTTGTCACCTTCAGTGCACTGCCTTCTGCACAGGGGCTTGTGAAAAACCAGCACTGCAACTGTGCTGCAGCAGCTGCATGGCTCTGCCTGTTGCTTGTGGTGCTCTGCTCTGCCATTCAGAGACTGGTTTGAGCCCAAAGACCAGTCAAAAAGACAAAGATGAACTCTGAGCTGATAGCTCACTGCAGTTGGTTACAGTTTAGACTACATGTGATGACCCACATTTCCCATCACCTGTACCTGTGGACTTTTCAGTGTCTTTGTGCTCAGGATCCCACCAAATTCCTTTCTTTGAATGATGTTCCACAAATGCTTGGTGGTAGGCCTGAGAGCCAGTGGTGCATCTACCCAGCACAGCTTATACTGTGCCCACCAGTATATCACAGCACTTCTGGGCTGCTTGAAAAGTGTCTGATAAAGTTTACTTTCTCTCTGTCTGGAAGAGAGAACATCAGGTGGTTTATATGTCATGTGTAAGGACTCGTGTCCTTTTGAGAAGTTGTAAATCACTAAATCCTGTACATTGAGGCAGAGGAGGCAAAGAGGAGGGGGAAAAAAAAAAAAAGAAAAAGGAACCCCCCCAGTCTGTACCCATTCTGTATGTCTCCAGAGTACATGAATGATACTTTGGCCTGTGGGACTCTGCAGGAGTGGCCTCCTTGATGCATAACACAGGAAATTTAGACAAATTTAAAATTTATGCAGAAAACAAAGCAGCAACTTCCTTTTTTTTAGCAGTACCTTTGTGAAGTAGCCAGGCCTAGCACAGCACACACCTTAGCACTTTGTCGGTGCTCTGCCGTCATGGAACTTGGACATCCAAAAACGATCTTTGGATAGGGTGGAGACTGTTCTTGGAACCTAAACCTTGCTGTAGTGTTAGAGGCACAGAAATCTGGGAAACAAAGCAATTTGCAGAGTGCCAGTTGGGTCCTACAGTCATTTCTGGAGAGCTCTGCCTGGAACTAGGAATTAGCAGTGCTGCAGTGCAATCATGTAGTTAAGGACGGTAGGAATGAAGATAGAGCAGGAGTGTGTTTCTTCAGACTAGTGCTGTGCCGACACAACACTGCTGCAAGGACACAGGCAGCAACCAAAATGCACAGAGACCAACCTCTTTCTGGTTCTGGAACCAGTTTATGCCTTGTGATATCCAGACAGTGCTGCACATTGTAGTGTGAACATGCCCTTGAGCTTTCTATCAGGCAGCAGAGGTTAAGTTTTAGAGAAGAGCTGGGAGGATGTTTAGGTTGGATCCATCTCCCACAGACTTGCTAAGGGATAATTCTTTAAGTAGTACCATTACGGAACTTCTGGAAGGACAGAGAGAATGCAACAGGAGCCCAGATAAATTGGAAGCTTTAATGTCCAAGTTCAGGTAATAGAGGGTTACTGACTGGATCTCTTACTGATTTGTTGGTGGCAGTGTCAGGCAAAAAAAAAAAAAATCTGTGTCTGGTGACAAGAAAGCTTTGTGCAGATGTAGTAGTGTGCTGCTCCACATGTATCCAGTGGGCAGTGCTGGGATTTGCATTGGTGCTCATTAGGGAAACTCAGAAGTGGGATCCTGGGTTTAAGGAGGCTAGCCAGGTCGGGTGGAGTTAGCTTAGGCTCTGGAAAAGTTGGATGGGGCAGTGTGTTACAGAGGACTTCCTAAGAGTATGGAGCAAACCTATGAATAGTTAAAGGATGTGATTTGACTGACTTACTAGATTTGCGATTTAGAATGGAGATTTTCCTCCTGCAAGCTTCTTGCACACTCTCTGACTGGATTGCTTTTTCTTAAACATTTTGCATGATTGAAGTCTCAGCAGTACTGCTCATGCACTCCTTGCCTCTCCTCAGCAGCTTTGTTATTTCACTGACAGCTGCACACACATGACTCATCTTCCAAGTATGTATATTCTGACTTTTCTGACTAGTTTTCCTTCTTCATGGGGCCATACTATAGTTATATTTTAAGTGTCCTTGTATACTTATTATTACTGCTTTCTGTTTTAGTTGATGTCATTATTTTATGTTACTTTTTATTTTTATTTTATATCATGTTTTGGAGATGAAAGTCCTTAACATTTTTGTTTTTATGTACTATACTTTCAGTGTTATAACCATACAGTTGTGGCTTCTCATGGTGACATATGACTGCTATGAATGTTGGGCCTTTGCAATGCATTTTGGAGGTCACTACTACACATTTGATGTTTAGGAGGTTGACAGGTATGACTGTAGGTAAGTGGTGGTTGTGGAGAGTATTCTTTGGGTGAGCTATGGGTTGTGGAGAATGCCTCCTATGCTGTAGAGGAGAGCCATACACTCAGTGGAATCCTTAGCATTAACGAAGCACTCGGGATGATGGGAGGAAGATACCAGCAAAGATTAAAAGAGCTTCTGGACTGTGAAGAGGAGTGCCATAGTAGTGTTTACATCTGGGAGGAGTTTCTCCAGTACAGGCTGGTAGGTTGATAAAGTATGTTTTCGAGGTACATGTAGAACTCAGTTGTGTTACTAAAGAGTAAGTGAAAGACCAGGGTAATTACTCATTGGTGTGTTCTGTGTGAGAGGCAGATTATGTCAATAAACAAGAAGTTACAGGATATCTCTGATACAAATGTCACCCTATAGATACTGATGATACAGAGTTTCTGAATGACATCTGGTTCCTAAGAACAAGGAATGACATGTGGACCCACCTGGATGTCTCTTTCACAGTGATAAGGTGCTCGTGGAGTTTGGTTATGCTTATAGGCGAAGAGTGGGTACAAGAACGTCTCTGAATCCTTTCATCCAACAGAAGTTTTGTTTGGGGAAAGGGGTTTTATGGTTGCACTTTACTCTTTGTCCCTTTGTACACTAAGGAAGCACAGCAAGCAGGCTGTGGTTGAAGTAGTACAAGGCTTACTGGATCATATTTGTTCTCACAAATGTGGTTTGATTTTTTTTTCTTTACACATAAGGAAAGTAGGTCCTAGACCAGGAACATGAAGTAAAGGTGGGAAGCACAGTTTTCACACATAGCAGTGAAAAGTCCCCATCTCAGTCTTGATGCTAAAATCGCAAATGTGCAGGGGGATGTTTGAATGCCTGTGTGGGGATGTGGTTGCTGTTTGGACTGACAATGCAGAACCTATGTACTAAATATGGATTGTACTTAATGGTAATGCAGTTTTAAAAAAATCTTAATTTCCAATATAAATGCACAGATACCATGTAAAACCTTTGACTTCTACAGTGCCATGTGCAGCAGAGTATTTTAAGGTACATATACAGAGGCCAGTCTAATTAAAGGAAGATCTTTAATAAGATTCCAGATTTAAAAAAAAAAAAAGGCTGCAAAGGGTTAAGTCACCATTTTTTTTTTTTCCCCCAGTCTTTTTTTCATCTCATTTTGAACTTTTTTGTCATGTTGTGAGTTTATTATTAGAACAAGAGAATGAGACTTCCAAATTAGTGAAGTGAAACAGCGTCACAGCTCCAGGGCTGGGAAGCCCAGAGCAACCTCTGAGCCAGAATCAGGATCTTTCTAGTACTTGCACAGGAGGGGAGAGGCAAGTAGTAAAGATTAAAGTGGGGTCTGGATGGATGTGCAGATGCTGAATGTTGCTGCACCCAATTGCAACTCATTATCACATATAACTCAACATTAATTTGGCATCTCCCTGCAGGCAGTAATTAGAGTGGGCTGCCATGAAGAGTGGTGGTATCTCACTTGGATGAGGGACTGAGCACAGCATTGGTCAAGATGTTAATTGGTTGACAGTGCTGCTTTAATTGACAAACAAGGGTCATGGTGTAAAATCCTGACAGAGCCTTGAAAGCCTCCCATGTTTTTCAAGAGGTTGTGTTACAAGAAATGGGGCTGTAACGTCTGTAAAATTGGGATCCATTTTTTTGCACGTTTCACACTGGGAATCCATCTCCTATGTTAATTTGTCAGTTTCTGATTTTTGAATTTTTGGGTCTTGTCATCCTGTCACTTGGAGTTGGGGAGACCACACCTGTTTCTACTTTATTGTCAAGCTGGACCCATGCCTGGCTAGCTTCTGCACATGGTGCTATGGGGACATTTGTCTCCTGTGCTAGCAAAGTCAGACCATCCCTGCTTGGTATCCGCTTCGTTTCTGCAGTTTAGTGTCAAAACTGCTTTGCTGTTCTCTCATCCAGATTGTATTGATGGCTTACAGTAATGACATAATCCAAGGCCTCTAAGAGGCCACTTCAGATCCTTCCCAAGCAATATCCATGTTGTCTTCCAGTCTTGGGAAATGCTGGTCTGGCTCACGCAAGTGCCAAAGCCCTTCAGCTTCCATGGTAGCCGCTATGAGCTGCAAGTGCTTTTCACTTACAAGGCCACCTTTCCCAAGATGCATGATGAAGAGCACATATTGATGTGAAGTGTAGTGTCTAGTAGTAAAGGAGGAAGG